CAGCCACACGAGTACAGTGTCATCTAGTACCAATGTTACCCAGAACCACTGACCTGATCACCCGCTGTGTTTCATCAGCTACCAGTGTCAGACAGTACAAGTGTCCTGATCACCAGACAGTACCAGTGTCGTCAGATACTGGTACAGCCACTGGCAAAAATTTCCAAAAAAAGTACACTAGTGAGGTGGAGTTTAAAATTCTTAGTATGACTGATGAGAGAAGTGGAGAGACCTCAGGGTCTGATTCAGAGTATTCACCTGTAGAAAGAGGATGAAGAGGTGCGTAAAAGAGTTAGGATAAACTGGAACTACACTGCATTTGAGCACCACAAACCAAAAACACTGCTTGATTTATTTTTAATATTATAATATTCGTATCCAGGAAATTAGATGTGTAATTTATGCCCTTTGAAAGCCTGAAGGTGTTTATTGGAATTTGGCCCCTCTGTGCTGATAGGCAATAAACAAATGTGGTATCCTCATACTCAGCAGGAGTAGCAAAATGTGTTTTAGAGTATAATTCCCATGTTGTGAATTAAAATAGCTTATTATTATTAGCGGGACTGAATTTATTTTCTCTCGCAAGAAGATGCGATTGAGGGGAACATGATTACCATGTTTAAATACATAGGCGGAGTATATAGTGAACTTGGTGTATAGTTAGTAATTTTAAGGGCATCACAAAGAACAAGGGGGGCACTATTTTCATCTGGAGGAAAAGAGATCTAATCTTTACATATGGAAAGGCTTCTTCACATGGAATAGGCTCCACCAAGAACTTGTTGTGACCAGCTTAGTATATTGTTTTAAAAGAGAACTGGATGCATTCCTGAATAAACAAAGCAAAATTTTAATATTAAAATGTATAGGTATGTAACTCCAAGGATTGTTGATACAGGTACTATCCAATTGTTATCTGGAAATAATTTATTTTTCTCAGAATGGAGCAAATTGGACCATGCTTTATATAGGTTTTTTTCCTTCCTCTGGATCAACTGTGAGTATAGATTTCTGTATTTGGTGGTTTTCTATTTTTTTTTTATATTGCTTAAACTAGATGGACTTTTTTCAATATCCGTAACTATATAACAATGTATGTAACTATTGATTGACGTTTAAAAAAAAAAAATTATATCTTTATCTGCAAACAAATATGAAAGACTCATTATGCCTCTGCTTTCCAAAATATGGTAAATTTGGGAGTTTTTAAGCTGTCCTGGCAGTTCTGGGTCTCCAAAAATATAATGGGAATTCAGGGATCAAGCTTGGAGACCAGTGGCTATAGTAGTAGAGAGGCTCCAACTGATCAGCTGGATAAGTACACAAGCAGACCACCCTCGCAGATGGCACAGGTTCACCTGAGTTGTGGGTTCTAAGCACTAAATAGTCTTCACCAGAGCTCCTGATGGGTTTTGCTGCATGTTAGTACCAGGTCGGGGTTCCCAGAATCTCTCCACCTGAAGGTGATAAAGCTGGGTCCAGTAGTGGATATTGCAGGTAGGGGTCAAGCAGAAGCGTAGTCAGTAAACAAGCCAAAGGTTGGTAACAAGTGGTTTCATGTTGGGATCAAGTGGAAGCATAGTCAATGAACAAGCAAAGGTAGGTAACAAGTGTTAGTGAAGATACAGATGGCAGCAGGAGTGACATGAGCAAGATATTGGCTGGAGAGAGCACAATAATCTGGCAAACAGGAAGTTCAAATGCATGGCCTAAATAGGAAGTTCATGGGAGGAGCAAAGGGTTCAAGAGAAACAAGACACAAGGCAATGCTGTCTAATGAATCAGGCAGGGAGCTGTCTAGCAACTCAGGTGGCTCAGCAAGAGGATATACTGCCAGACTCAGCAGAGGTTGCAGGTTCAGACCTGGGTCCTTACACAGGGAAGTAGATGCGTCATTTCCCAAATCATCTTCCAGGTCATCTACTTGAGAGATGATTGGCTCCACCTTCAACAAGAAACACCAACCAGAGGGAGATGAAAAATCCCCTCCCTCTCCCCCATCCTCAGTTGTTTTGTGTTTTTGACCATCCAAGAGTATACTTTGTTGTGTTTGTTTTGTTTACCCTGGCACTGCTAATTGTGGATGTCGGGGCTCCCCCAGGTGACTAGCCTGCCAGCAACACTGTTTTCTACAAGTGGTCATCACCATGGAACTGCAGCCAGAGAGCTCAGTTTCACAACATGTTCCATTTGCTTACCATAACCACTTAGATGGCTTTGATAAGAAGAAGGCCACTGTTTTAGTTTTTTTCAGGTATTTACCAAAACATATGGGCTGAAAGTGTACTTGTACATCTGATTTGGAGGAAGGGTTTAGGAATTACAGCTCCTAAGAGTAGCCACCCCCCCTTTTTCAAGGGACCAGAAGTAATTGGACAATTGAATCAAAAGCTGTTTCATGTCTAGGTGTAGGCTACTCCTTCATTATTTCTTAATCAGTTAAGCAGGTAAAAGGTCTGGAGTTGACCTTGTGGTGTGGTATTTGCATTTGGAATCTATTGCTGTGAATCTACATCTTGCGTTCAAAGGAGCTGACATTGCAAGTGAAACAGGCCATTGTAAGGTTTCAAAAAGGAAACAAATCCATGAGAGAGATAGCAGCAACATTAGGAGTGGTCATATCAACAGTTTGGTACATTCTGAGGAAAGAAGAACGCATTGGTGAGCTCAGCAACATAGAAAGGCATGGACGTCCACGGAAGACAACAGTGGTGGATGACCACAGGATCATCTCTATAGTAAAGAAAAACCCATTCACAACATCCAGACAAGTGAAGGACACTCTCCAGGAGGTGGGCATATCATTGTCAAAGTCTACAATCAACAGAAGACTTCATGAGAGCAAATACAGAGGGTTCACAACAAGGTGCAAACCATTTATAAGCCGGAAGAATAGAAAAGCCAGATTAGACTTTGCCAAAAACATCCAAAAAGCCAGACCAGTTCTGGAAAAGCATTCTTTGGATGGATGAAACTAAGATTAATCTGTACCAGAATGATGGGAAGAAAAAAGTGTGGCGAAGGCTTGGGACAGCTCATGATCCAAAGCACACAACGTCATCTGTAAAACATGGTGGTAGAGGCTAGGTGATAGCATGGGCATGTATGGCTCCCAGTGGCACTGGGTCATTGGTATTTAATGATGATGTGGCAGAAGACAGAAGCAGACAGATGAATTCTGCAGGGTTTAGAGATATACTGTCAGCCGAGATTCAGCCAAATGCAGCAAAGTTGATTGGAGGGCACTTCACAATACAGATGGACAATGATCCAAAACACACTGCAAAAGCAACCCAGGAGCTTTTTAAGGAAAAGTAGAATATTCTGAAATGACCGAGTCAGTCACCTGATCTCAACCTGCAGAAAGATCCACAAACCAAGAACAACTGAAGACAGCTGCAATTAGAGCCTGGCAAAGCATCAGAAAGGAGGAAACCCAGTCTTTGGTAATGTCCATGGGTTCCAGACTTCAGGCAGTCATTGCCAGTAAAGAATTCTCAACAAAATATAAAAAAATTAACGTTTTATTTATGATTATATTCATTTGTCCAATTACTTTTGGTCCCTTGAAAAAGAAGGAATGGCTACTCTTAAGAGCTATAATTCCTAAACCCTTTCTTCAATTTGGATGTACAAAGCCTCAAATTAAACCTGAGTGCGCACTTTCAGCCCATATCCATTATATAACTATAGCTTGAATATGTTTTGGTAAATACCTGAAAAACTACAGTTATGCCTGTGTCCAAATATATATTGACCTAAGTGTTTTACCTGGAGCTGAGATTCCGTTCGGGCGGATTTTCCTTTAATCCGAGCTTGGGCTTCAGGCATTGCTTCTATACTGTACATCGAGGAGAACCTAGAATGAGGGTTTATCTGTCCATTTACATCTTTTGCTGGGGCATATTTTTTGTTGAAAAGAAAGACCTGAGACCTTGTGTGGACTGTGGAGACCTAAATAACATAATGGTTAAAAACAGATGCCCTCTGCCTCTTGTTCTTGAACTTTTCCAGTGCTTTAGAACAGCAAAAGTGTTCAAGAAACATGACCTACAAGATGCATATAACTTGGTAAGGATTTGGGAAGGGGACAATGGAAAACAGCTTTTTGTACTCAGGGCACTTTAAGTACTTAGTCATGCTGTTTGGAACACTTCTTAGCTTTCCGGGAACATCCATTATATGCAAAGGCTGAGAAGTGCGAGTTCGAGAAAGAAAGAAAGAAAGAGAATCTATTCAATTTCTTGGATTGACTATTTCAACCTCAGGTATTGCAATGGATCTGCAGAAAGTTTGTGCCATTCTTGAGTGGCCACTGCCAACAGATCAAAAAGGAATCCAGAGGTTCATTGTATTCGCCAATTTTTATTAGAAACTTATCAAAAATTTCTCAGCCTATAATCAGCCCTATTACTCAGCTCACCAAACAAAATAATCAATTCCAGTGGATTTGAGCACCGCAACTCATTTTTGATAAATTGAAAGCTCTTTTTGCTTTGGTACCAATTTTGTAACATTCTCACCCTGTGCTGCCTTATGTCCTTGAAGAAGATGCTTCAGAAAACACAGTTGGTACATTCTATCTCAACGCCAAGCATCAAAAGGACCATTGTAAAAGCTCCAAAGTCTTGTGAGTCCTAAAATGCCCCACCAAGGGATGGTCATGGATCAGATTTAGGACTGACACAAGCTTGAGGGTACAAAATCATTATGCTCATGCAGGAAAAAAACAATCCATCTGTTCTTGCAACTGAGAGTTACACGGTGGACCATCTTTCCTTGATATGTGTTTGACAACAAGTCTCCGGACAGCAACAGAAAACATTGTTGGAGGTAGAATAGTGTCCGGCTGAGTTGCTTCCTTTTCTTCTGAGAACATGTAGGAGCAAAATGTGTGCTTTAGGCTACTGTTCCTTTAGTTGTGTTTGTGAGGGGTTTGTATATTCAGAATATAGGGGGATAGATATATTCAAAATGTTTTTTCTGCTTTATTTCTTTAGGTGATATTATTAACATTGGAGATGTATCCTATACAATAAAAGATCCGAGAAACCCAGAACTGGTACCTCAGAGCTACAGTAAGTCTCTTTGATTTCATGTTTGTGATATGTAAGTATGAATAGGCAAAATAACAAGGTGATTATATTGCAGGCATTGTAAGCATTCTATACTTGCCTTGTCAGTGCTTCCCCAGTGCCTTGTCCCACTACTAGAGCCCCCAGAATTACTTGTGCAAGATGAACCTTTCCTGCAAGGTTAGGTAAATTCTGAGGGCAGTGTCAAGTGTCACCCTTCACTTCCCCAATCCTATTCCCCCATACTAGGGTTCTGGTGGAGAGAAAATGATAGAAAGGAAAGTACAGGAGGCCTATGCTATTAGGTTTGCATAAGCACCTCATATTCTGTTTAAAAAGAATTACATTTGACTGAATGAATTTCTTTCTTGGAAATGGTGTACTAGACTTAAAAAAACAATACTTTACCTTGAAAACTGTGGCACCTGCCATGGGCATTTGGTTAACTTAATGGGTAACTCCACTAAATGGGGGGAAAAAAAATAGCGAATACAAAAAAATGTACAATTGTTACACAAGCCATGTTGTAATTGCATGTTATTATTACTTTTCCTTTTCAATCTGCAGCACTGTCTTTAAAAAAAAGTAAAAAATCAATGCAACATGGCTATCCAGAGGCATTAAGAGTGCACAGCTGGTGTACAGAGTGTAATGATTGTGCGCAATGGGCGCATGAAAATCTCTATGCGGCGGTCATGTTGTTCAGGTTCCAAGTCCCCCGTGCCATTTTTTCATAAGAAGAGACATAGCTGCAGTGACCTTCCCCCAACTTCAGTTTATACAATCAAAACAACTTTAGGCTGCATTCCAGAATATTCTTATCAGATACTTGAGGGGACACATGCAGACCCTCTCACGCCTATTATATGAATACACACTTCAGTGTAGAAGTCTTTGTGAAGTCGCAAGTTTGAGCAACCTGTAAAACAAACAGGTATCCTGCCTGATCACCCCATCATAAATACCTTAGCTGAAGTCTTTAGCAACACACATTTCTGCCTTGGTGGAATTAATCACTTCAGGGTATTTTATAACTCATGAAACAACAGTAAAGTCAGAATAGGGGCATATTTACTTCCACCAGTTAATCCATAATGTTTTAAATCCAAATGTCTCTATCTTTGATAATCTAGATTATGGTTCTGCAAGCTTGAAAATCTTTGGCAGGGTGAGGCTGAGAGTGTCGTTGTTGCAATTCAGTGACAGTGAGGTGTGATGTAGACCAGCCATTTGTCACAAGTCGGAGAAAAGGGCAGTGGTTTGTCACATAGCTCCTACAAAAATGTAATTTCCATTTTTCTCAACAAAAGTGGAGCTACTCTTTAAAATATTGAAGGTTATTTGTAATATATTAAGAGAAAAGACAAGGTAGTCTTTGACAAAGTGCCCACTGGATATTGAGAACTGTGTGGAGGTTTCAGCTTGTAGTCCCAATATAGTGGTCATGTACTGAGGAGGCTCTGCAAGTAGTCCAATAGTGACTGCTGACCGTACATCATGGACGGGATGCCATATCTGTGATGGTAGAGTCCTGTGAAAACACCATGTGGTTTGAAGGTGGCGTGTGGGGAATGGAGGTAGGGGGCGTGTGACCACACTGACGCGTTTCGTCCCACCTACTTCCGGTGAGTATTTACTGTGGGAGGTCTCCCCCATGCCAGGGGTTGGGTTTTTACAACTTTGGGTGACTACCAGGTCCCCAATGCAATGTTTTTACTTTGTATGTTTTTTTCATGAATAAATACATCTTTGAGGTTAGCCTTTTAGGTGTGCAGCCTATTTTCTTTCATGGGGGTGCCATTAACCATAGAGCCCGTGCAATTTTTGTGCAGCACTGCAATTTGTGTGTGGCAACATATGCATGCGGGAATAAGTGCAATTTGTGAACGTAGCCTTAGCCCCCCCCCCACAAACCCCCATAAATACCTGTTGATTGCAGTGAAGTCCACCTCATAAAGCTTCCTGTAAAGATGTGGCAATGATCCAGCACTGCTCAAGTCAGATAAGAGTTACCACTCTTATGTAGGCTGTGCCTACATCAGTGGGATGAAAAATATGTTTCAGGGGCATAGCTATGAGCACTGTCAACACTGACTGGCAAGCTTGTAGCATGTCAACCAGCAGCTGGCCACACCTAGTCCTGTGTATTGCTTTTAGATTGGCAGTACTATGTCTGTTTTTGAAACCCTCCCAGTGCAGCGGTGTTTGGGAGGGGAAGCATATGAGACACAAAGGAGGATTTTGTTCAGTCAGGGAAGTAAAAAAGTTTTTTTTTGTTTACTTTATCATGCTTCTGTGTTACACAGTAACTGGATGTGGTACCGTACTTGTTTAGATTGTTGTACAGGAGCCTTTGGATGTACTTTAGGCTAAATAGGAAAGATTAGACCTCTTTATTCTTGTCTGTGTCCCTGTTTCTAATTTACTTCACTTTTTGTCTGAAAAAAAGTTTGTCCCCAGAACCGAAAATGCGGAAAAATCTCTATAAAGGAGCCCTGTTTAGCAGTAAAGCTTGACAGAAGTTCTAGCCCTTATCTACTCTATTCATAACTAAGTAAAAGGTTTTGACTATAGATACACTCTAAAGTAGAACTATAAGCAAAATGTTTTACTTTATTTTGGATAGAGTTAAGGGATGGTTATAACTAGTGGTGCACCAAAATGAAAATTCTGGTGCCGATACCGAAAATTCAGAATGCATGTGGCCGAAAACGGAAACCGAAATGTCTGCATATGTGGGGAGCCTCACATGTTTTTGCATTTTTTTTTTTACTAAAATGTGTATTTTTATTTATTTATTTTTTTTAACTTATGATTTTATTGCTATCACATAGGGGATCAATAGTCCCCTATGTGATAGTATATGAGTGAGAGATCCTCTTTGTTGGGGGGAGGGGGTTGGCGGCAGTGTGTGCAAGGAGGGGGCAGGAGAGGAGCAGTGTATACACTCAGGCTGCTGCTCTATGTTAGTGCCGGTTTTTAAATGTAATTACCGGCTTTTTTTTTCTTGCACTAAAGCTCCAAGAAGGAGCTGTCATTCTCCCGCTGCTAAAGGAAACAAAGGGGCGGGGTCACCCAGTGACATTACCTCAGTGACCCCACCCCTTTATTTCTTTTAGGGGCGGGGAGAATGACAGCTCCTTCTTGGAGCTTTACTGAAGGAAAAAAAAAGCTGATAATTACATTTAAAACCGGCAGTAATATTTAACGGTAGCTCACTATATACACTGCTCCTATCCTGCCTTTAAACACCCCCCTCCCCCCTCCCCGCAACATTTGCAGTACACACAACCCCCTGTATTGGCACCTGTATCAGCTACATTTTTCCTATCGGCAAAATGCCAATAGGATTATTTTTGACTGATATGTCTCGGCCTCCAAAATTTCAGACAATTTCTAGTTATAACCCGTCAGGTCAATTTTTGCCAACTGTGTAGGAAGTAAGAGGAAATCCCTGCAAAATAAGGTAATCCCTTGGTGCCCCCCAGGTTACCAGAATTAGTGTCCCCATTGGAAGATTTCCCCTTTATTTCTTTTCTAGGGACAACCCAAAATGTGGGATCTTTTTTTTACTTGTATTTTCAATGGTAAAGGTAAACAGGATAAATAGGGTGAATCTTCCTAATGGGGCAGAGTCAGCAATAAAAACTGACGGGTTCTATCCCTCTCCAGTCTGTCCAAAACGAAAAAAAGTTTTGCATTTAGTTATAGCCACTTCGTATATGTATATATTGTGTGTGCGTGTGTATATATATATATACACACAATGGGGATCGAAAGGTTGGGCACCCCAGCTAAAAATTTGTATTAATGTGCATAAAGAAGCCAAGGAAAGATGGAAGGATCTCCAAAAGGCATCAAATTACAGATTAGACATTCTTATAATATGTCAACAAAAGTTAGATTTTATTTCCATCATTTACACTTTCAAAATAACAGAAAACAAAAAAATGGCGTCTGCAAAAGTTTGGGCACCCTGCAGAGTTAATATCTTGTACTGCCCCCTTTGGCAAGTATCACAACTTGTAAACGCTTTTTGTAGCCAGCCAAAGAGTGTTTTCAATTCTTGTTTGAGGTATCTTTGCCTATTCTTCCTTACAAAAGTCTTCCAGTTCTTTGAGATTTCTAGGCTGTCTGTCACGCACTGCTCTTTTAAGGTCTATCCATAGATTTTCAATTATGTTGAGGTCAGGAGATTGTGAAGGCCATGGCGAAACCTTCAGTTTACGCCTCTTGATGTAATCCCCCGTGGATTTCGAAGTGTGTTTAGGATCATTATCCATTTGTAGAAGCCATCCTCTCTTTAACTTCAGCTTTTCACAGATGGCATCAAGTTACCATCCAAAATTTGCTGAAATTGTATTGAATCCATTTTTCCTTCTACTTGGGAGATGTTCCCTGTGCCACTGGCTGCAACACAACCCCAAAGCATGATTGATCCAACCCCATGCTTAACAGTTGGACAGAGGTTCTTTTCATTAAATTCTGTGCCCCTTCTTCTCCAAACGTACCTTTGCTCATTCCGGCCAAAAAGTTCAATTTTAACCTCATCGGTCCACAGAACTTGTTTCCAAAATGCATCAGGCTTGTCTATATGTTCATTTCAAAGTTCAAACAATGATTTTTGTGGTGAGGACGTAGAAGAGGTTTTCTTCTGATGACTCTTCCATGAAGACCATATTTGTACAAGTATCTCTTTATAGTGGAATAGTGTACCACAACTCCAGTGTCTGCCAGATCTTTCTGGAGGGATCGTGCAGTCAAACGTGGGTTTTGAATTGTTTTTCTCACAATCCTGCGAGCTGTTCTGTCTGATATTTTTCTTGGTCTTCCAGATGTTGCTTTAACTTCCACTGTTCTTGATGACTGCCATTTCTTAATTACATTCCGAACAGAGGATATTGACATCTGAAAACGCTTTGCTATCTTCTTATAGCCTTCTCCAGCTTTGTGAGCGTCAACTATTTTCAGTTTCAGGTTTCTAGACAACTGCTTAGAAGAAC